TACTTGGGGACAGAAGAATTATGTCATCAGCATAAACCCATATTCCAAGGTATATACCTTTTATTTGACAACCAATCGTAGATAATCTCAACTGTTTTATCAAATCATTTATATAGATGCAGAATAATATCGGAGAACTAACCGCTCCTTGTCTTACTCCGTTTGTTACTTGAAAACCATGGGATAGAGAATCAGTCCATTTCACATTGCAAGTTTGGTTCTTATATATATGTATGAGACATCTTAGAGATAAAACTGAAATGTTTCTTTCCAATAACTCGGCGAACAATTTATTTCAAGATACAAGATTAAACGCTTTGGATAGATCCTATAGCGCATGCATAAACTGGCCGGCCAGCTTGATTATAGTAATCAATTACCGAGGATACGGCCCAGGAACACATAGTTGTACTACAGTTAGGTTGAAATCCAAACTGCAATTCATCACTGGATAAATTGCAGTTTGGATTTCATCCTAACTGTAGTACAACTATGTGTGGGTCCTCACGTAACCCAGGGGGAAGGTTTATGAATGATCAAATTTTAAAAATTTGTGTTTAAGAGTTTTTATTTTTGTAAAATTTTGAAAATGCGCAAAAAAATATTTTGAAATCCGCAAACTTTTTTTATTTTTGTTTTATATTGTACAAAGTGAAGATGCTCACAGATAAAGTCACAATTAAAGGTTGAAATAGAAGATGGGCGCGAAGCACCCTAAAACCATAGTTTCTGTAAGTTTCTCCATTGCTTCTTTTAGCCCAAATAATGCGCTAGTCACTTTCGCAAAGACACCGCAAAAGAAAATAAACAGTGTAAATTGAAACAAAAACATTGATATCGAATTCATACTTGATCAAACAAAGCTTTTAAAGGAACCGTTGTAAATCTGGCATTGCCATCTTTGCATGGAGGGTCACTCAAAATTATGCATACAGTTTCTTTAAGGTTTGAACTTTTTAAACAGGGTGATTTCTTTTAATATCTTTTTTAAGATTTAAATATTTTTAATCACGCTTAGGTGTAAATTGAGGGAGGAGCGACAAAATTTTTTTTTTCAAAATTATTTAAAAGTTCAAGTTAACATCAAAAACTTTAAACTCTC